GATAGATAAAGCACATATAAGATGGCTGAAGTTTAACGTTTGAGCAAGTTTAAGTCATTTTCAAAAGTTTTTAAAAATTAATCGCATGCATGGCCCCCAAAACTATTTCGAAATCACAATAACTTTAGTAACGACGTTGTTATTCACGTGTGAAACGTGTAGAAAAATAAAAAAAGTTTGCAACTATTCAATTCTCCGTAGTGCTGATCACTAGTCTTAGTTGAATTTTTTTTTTTAAATACCGCGTTTTATAGAAAACTCAGAATCCTGCTAAAAATCCAACTCGAGATCCAACTCGAGATCCAACTCGAAATCCAACTCGAGATCCAACTCGAAATCCAACTCGAGATCCAACTCGAAATCCAACTCGAGATCCTAACTCGGCGTTTAGGTAACCTCCTTTTAAGTAGTGATTTTTATACAAACGACAAACTGAGTAATAAGAATATAAGTCTTATTCAGTAAAGGATAGATAAATTCTGACTCAAAGTTCGTAGTCAAACAAAACTTAATTGGTGACGCTTATTAGATATTCCAGATATGAAAGTCCTACTGCTCATGCGTTACTCACTGGTCAAAAACTGGTTTTTAACGACAGCTGAACTACAGAGTAAGATTTCTCATCCTGTACAAATAGTATTCAATTACGAGTGTTGGACAAAGGTGTTGTTGTCTTTAGAGATTAGTGTTCCATTGTCATTAATTACTCTGTCTATGGTGTAGTCATGGAATATCTTTAGAGACTTAATTTCTAAAAGACCATCATCCCCTATCAGCCCATCAGGAGAGCACGCAATATAAGGGAACTCGGGGTTGACCCATAGTCCTGTTGAAGAAACAACAGAGTTTGTTTGTTGTTGATACTTTATCACTGCTTCTGCCTCACTTTCCAAGCCATACTTCATCCACTTAGTTTGAGGTCGCTGATTGTTATCAATGTTCCATATATGGTCTGAAATAAATTTACTACATGACTTAGCAGCATTACTATCATTACTAATAATACTTAGACCAATTTTACGGGCTTCAAAGCATGTTGACGCTGTTATACGGCACCACCGTTCTGAAAACCATTTTTCAGAATCACTTTGTGATMTTGTTCCCTCTATTTCTGTGAGCATAGTTGGTGAGATATTGCTTAAGAGGAGTCCAGCTTTTTTTTCTAAAATAGGAATTGCTGAAGATTCAAGCRTGTAGTCTTCATAAGTAATCAGCAGCTGAGTTTCCCACATTGAGACATGCTTTTGCTCAGCCGAGATAGTTTGCARCCCCACGACAAAATTGTTAATGTTTTTGTMTGTAAMCTTTCGATATTCTTTTGRTCTGGGATCAAAGTCGATAACCTGTAATTTTCGCTGTTTGCGTTTGGTAGGATACTTTGCATCGGATAGCTTACGTGGATTYTTTTGGCGTTTTTTACCCTTGTTCCAACTACATTCTTGACTTGTGCATGGTGTTGTTAMTTGGTTGCCGTGCGTTTTCACGTAGTCAACAAGGAARAGTAAAACCGCTACTACGTGGCTACACCGTCCAAGTGCCGATGCTTTACAGGGTTGGCAAGACGCATGAATGACTGCTCCACTGTTCCTCGATAGAGTAATGTCTACATTATGAGGTAAATCGGTTTTCATTGAGGGCCAAACGTGCGCCTTTACGAAGTAGTGTTCCGTAGTTTTGTTGTCTGTTAGATCATGAACAAATCCAGAATCAACGTATTTTCTTCCAACGCTAAACGGTTTGTCGGTCATGTGGCCTAGTCCAGTGTCAGTGTCCAAATTATTAACATCATTCTCTATTGTTGAGTCATTTTCGTTAGAAATAAACGGTAACGACTCCAACGCATAGTGGTATACATGACCATAATTGAACAGCGATGGAATGTCCTGCGATGGGAAGGCTTTCCATCCAGATTTTGGGCCTATTGGGATGGTTACATCTTCACTTCTAGCACTTGATCTGTCAGTAGTTTTAGTTTCTTTTAAAATCTTGGCCTGCAACCACTTTCCATCATCTATACTTGGATCTAGAACATGGTGATTACCKGCTTTGATAGCATCGCGAACACGTGCGAGTAGATCACTACGCTTTCCGCTCAGTTTAAGGCTTCTAMACTTCAGCCATCRCTTCAACTGCTCTACAGTGTAGTTGTCGGGGTCTTCTTCGAACTTTGAACCAGGTATGCCGTCGTTTTGCGTTAAAATTACGGCTTGTTTTAGATTTGAACTCGCAATCGTCGATTCGTCGCCCATATTCCTTTACTACTGAAGCTATTTGTTTGTCCTAATCGCCGCAGGGGTTMAAAAATGTGTGACGTCACGTCCGCGCAGCGCTAAAGGTCTTACTGAAACTTGACGTTGCTATGACAACTTGAATAATTAGAGTTCACTTGAGTCGAGATAACTAGAAATGGCCTCGCTACAGAATACCTTCTGTTGTAATTTGTTCTAGGTTGACCCACTTTTTTCGCTAGATTGACTGGACTATTACGTCATCGTTCTCTGATAATAAGTTTGGGCAACCTGTGCTGAGATGTTCACATAACTGTCAGAAGCTACTGTAGGCCTGGTCTTAAAATTGTCATATTTGCCCCACAAATACTAGAATTCCAGTCAATAATACACATATTATTCAGATATTGAACAAAGTTCTGGTAATTGTCATAATTGCTGACTGCAATTATTCCACCTTTACTCATATGAGTGTGACTTTCATAAAGGGTGATTGTTCTTGACGTTGCATCAAAACACAGTAACATTGATTTATCTGTACGAACAATGACTATAGCACACGTTTTGCCCTGTTTGCTGCAGATTTCTTGCAGTTTTTGTTCCATAGATGATACATCAAATACACCTGTTTCTTCAGCGATTGTAAGGTTGAAGCTTTGGTCTTTTCTGCTGCCAAGTGCTTCTTCCACAGTAAGGTTGGGCTTATCTGGTGGCATGTTTAGCTGATTGTAGTGCCTGTTTCCATCTCCCATTGTACTTTTGAAGTTTTCTATGCACAATTGTATGTTTTGAATGTTTGGTAATTCATTGAACAGAAATTTCTCTGCACCCAGAACTGCAATAATGGTGCAAGCATTGCTGCCAGTGAACATTCCATTGGTATGAGACTGAGATACATTCAAGGGTAATAGGCACTCTGACACTCCGTTGTGCATTGTTGGCTGCAAAGCTAGTGTGGCTGTAGATTATAGATAGAAAGAAGATATATAGATAAAAATTACATCATGGAAATACAGTAGTTTGTTCTGTAATTTTCTATTTTATTTAATACAGCTCCGACTTTAATATTGTCGTTGAGCACTTTTTAGTTTTTTGATGAAATTTTTCATATATATATAGATATATAGGTATACAGCCTTTTGCAAAAATTATGAGAATTGTCTAAATATCTAAATATCATAATATCCATATCCATATATTGTCCGGAACATGCGGGTTTGCTAGAATAATTCATTGTTGACATCGAGAAAATGTTCAGAACTACCGTGGGATAGGTCTGTCGCCAAAAAAAAACTAAACTACAAAGACAAGGGACTAAGGGCATCGCGCGGGATTACCCATCATGCACTCGATATTATGATATTTAGATATTTCAACAATTCTCATAATTTTTGCAAAAGGCTGTATATAGGTTTTGTAGTTTAGGATTTAGGTCCTAGCCCACGTGCATTTTAGTGCGCGTGTTTTTTGGCTACGCGCGCTGTAGAGCGCGCGCATATTGTTGTTTTCAACACCATGAAATTCCTACATTGGTGTTGTTTATCTGGCTTGGGTTTGTTTGATGTAATTTCTGGTTTGGCTAGCTGAGTGTTTTGTATTAGCTACTGCTTTCCTTGGTTTTGTAGGTTAGATTTAGGTCCTAGCCCACGTGCAAGCTCTAAAGTGCGCGTGTTTTTTGGCTGCGCGCGCTGTAGAGCGCGCGCGTTTTGTTGTTTTCCGTTAGTCGCATTTTGTAGCAATGGCGCGTGCAAAACACTCAGTTTGCTGAAGAAGGCCGAAGTGCCGAAACGTTCATTAAAAAGTAGAAAACCTAGTTACAAGTTGCGTGGCTTTTTCTTCATTTATTCTATTTATACATTTAAAGAAGACACCTTGGAATCCTTTGGATCCTTGTAGCTAGACGTGGTAGTTGGCCAAGACAATTATTTTTACAATTTACTGGATTATCTTTGGATTGTTCATTTGTTATTGTCGCCTGTGAATCTTCAAGATCCTATCATGTCATCTACTGTTAAACATCATCAGCGCAAACTAGAAAA